AAAAAAAAAAGTCATATGCTCATCAGGATTCAATACCATTCAACCTGCAAATGTACATTAATTGCAAGAGTTACAAACTAATCATATTGATAAATGAATAGACATGTTATCCAACTTAATTGAGTATATGTTCACAGAAAACCCAAGACAGTTTTCAGCTTCTGTTCTCCAGATTCCTTCTAGTCTTAGATATTATGGAGGAACCCATAGAACTGTTTTTAAATGATTATATTTGTCATCATAGAAATTCAAACAATTGCTTGAAGTGTTGAAGCAATTTAGAAACAAGAATTTCACTATATATTAACAAACATGGCTTTAATGAAATAAAACAACAGTGACATTGAAAAAAAACATGCATTTCTTTTCTTGTTTTTTAAACATCCATTAAGTTTTAAAATAATCTTTAACAATAAGCTTAGCATGAAATGTAGTCTTACCTAGGGTCTCACTGTAAAACTTATCCCAGAATGCAAAGTCATATTGCTGAATTCCAAATTCAAAAAACAATGACAGCATCATATTTTTCACCCTTTCTGTGAAGGTCATATTGTCTGTTAGTTCACCCATGATAACTGGTACATAGGACAGGGGAAGTGGAAGCTGGCCACAGTATTTCTCAATGGTGTAACCCATGCTGAACCTCAGAGTGTTCACAAAAGGGACTTGAAGCACCTCAGCCACCAGCTCTCCACAGGGAATGACAGGATCTATAACCATTACATCGTATTTTGTGTCTCGGAGCTTTCTCATGAATGTCTGGTTGTACAATACATTCCTGCAGAGATCTTCAAACACTGACGTCAATTGGAAAAAGAATTCTTGCAATTTTTTTGTTCCTTGCCAAATGGGTAAGTTTGGAATGACATTCACAGCTAGGTCCACTAGCTCACTTAGATGATTCTCCGCAATTTCTTCCCCATGAGACAGAGGGATGTTCTCAAAGTGAAGTGCAGAATGTTTATTCTGATCCATCATGATAGTGGAATATTTCAGGACTGTCACCTCATGTCCTCTAACCACAAGCTCCTCAAGAATAGTCTTCATATTCAGCCAGTGACTCATATCACAGGGCCACACAAGGACCTTGCCGCACAAGCCATAGCCGACACAGCAAAGCTGCACCGCAAAAACTGCCATGACCCACTTCTCAGAAGCCATGATGTGCTCATCCAACCTGCTCTGCAGAGACTGAGTGTTTACTCAGTTGAGTAACTAGTTATAACATAAATCAAATATTAACTTGCAACGTTACAAAACACACAGGTCAAGAGATGTCTATCTGATACAGTGCCTATAGAACATTATTTGGCAGATTAGAGATGTACTTATGAAGAACTGGATCCAGTTGTTTAACAATTCTACTTTGAGCTTTTTATAAATGGGAGAAATGCAATATTTTCAAATTAATAATGTAATGGTAGCAGTCACAACAGCTGAGTAATAGCAGGAAGCTAGACTTAGGGCAGGCGAAGAAAACACATTAGAGAAAAATGATTTTTGAATCAGGATGACTAGAGCGGAGAGCTTTCAGTTCATGGAATGGGTCACAGAATTTGCGATAATAAGCGAAGTTTCAACAGGAGACTTTGAGGTTCATTTTTAATCTCTATGAAAATGTGTCAGGGAGAATGCAATCTTGGTCTGTGGTTTAGAGTTGTTATGAAAGATGAAAAATGAGAGTTGATCAACAATTTAAAAACAATTTTCCATCTCATGTCATAACCCATGGAATCAGAATGAGGTGGTGTCTGTAGCAAACACATGAAAGGAAAACAGAAATAGCAATGTACTGGCCAAGGGAAAGGGAGGATGCGCTAAATCTTCAAGAATCAATAATTTATGAAGTAAAAAAGTACAATTTCAATTTAAAGAGAATAGTAATATAGGTGTGTTGCTGAAGATTTCTTGAGGCAGGTCTCACTGCCTTTCTCAGCCCCCCAAACACACAGAGATTTATAGTAATTATAAACTGATAGCCAAAGGGCTAGGACTTCATTATTAACCCATTTCTGTTAATCTATATATTTCCACATGGACTTGGCTTATCAGTGAATGCCCATACCTGCTACTCCTTTGTTGTCTACATAGTGACTGTCTTTGGCAGGCTCTCCCTGCCTATCTTTCTCAGAATTCTCCTCATCTCCTAGTCCCATCAATCTTCCTGCCTCACTGTCCAGACAGTGTTGTGTTCATCAATCTATAAGAGAAATATATACAGATGAACATCCCCCATCATAGGTGCTGCTATATACAAGGCTTATTAGAGTTGTGTTCAGTCTCAACACTTGATGAGAAATGGATTATTAAAATTTCAAATTTCTGTTGGAGAGATGCTCAGGGGAAAAGAAAGAGTTCAGTTTTTGTAGTGGATCCAAAATCATTTCCCAGCACCAACATCTTGAGTCTCACAAGTGCCTAAACATTAGCTTTAGAACTGACACCTAAAGGCTCTGTGGTTATCTGCACTATCCACAGATACATAATTAGAAATACATCTCATGTTTTTTTTTCAAAATTCTTTGGAGATTTTGCTTTGCCAACAAAAATTCCAGAATATATTCATGTAAAATACCAAAGTAAAATTAGCAGTGAAATCAAGGTATTCTATGAATTTACACAGGCTAGTGGCTTCCCAAAGAAAGTACTCCCCAAAAATTCAGAAACAGCAATTTCCAATGTATGAGAGGGCTAACAAGTGCTCTAAGAAACTATTAACATTATTATCTTAGAGAGCAAGGTCCTTTGAAATAAAAGGAATACCATGGGGGTAATAAAAACTAGTGTGACAAGTTTTGTGATATGATATAATATTTGATGAAAAGTAGAAGGGACAGTGATATACAATATAAAATAAACATTCTTTCAACTGGCATCCAGATATAGGTGTTATTAAAAAATTCTGAGTTGCTTGATTTTGCGGAAACAGTGTCTAGCTCTGGCTATGCATAGAAATTCACTTCAATAAATGTAAATGTATATGTGTTGTGGCTCTTTCATTGGTAATGGTCTTCATAGGCTCATATCTTTGCTTAGTACTCAGCTGGTGGGACTGTTTGAGTGTGGCCTAGTTGGAAAAGGTGTGTCACAGGAATTGGAGGTTTTAAAAGCTAGTATGATGCAATCCCAAGTTAGCTGTCTCTCTGCTTTGTAGTTGTTGTCTTAGGATATCAGAATTCAGCACCATGCTGTTGTCTGCTTGATGCCATTATGGTCATGAACACTCCCTTCTGAAACTGTAAACCATCCTCCAAGAAACTCTTGTATTAGTTGCCTTGGTCATGCTGTCTCACAATAGTAAATAAAAATCAGATAGATGTGAAGTGGAAATTCTGTTACCCAGCTGCTATCCAATTAAAATGAGCGTTTTAGTCCAAGAGGTGGGGATTAGATTAGGGATGTACAAGACTGTTGGGCAGGTGGGGGGTAGGTGGAGCAGGAAGGAATACAGGTGCCTTTTTGAACTGGGAAGGACGTGGTGGAGGAGTGCTTTGGCAGGGGCTTGTATCTGTCTCAGCTTTTCTTTTTCCTTTAATATTTGTGCCTGGGACTTGTAAACTAATAAATGGTAAAAAGAATCTTTTTTATCTGGTGCCCAATGTGTGGCCTTGTTCAACCATGCAAAGATGTGCAATTTTGGGACAGCAGAGAGTCCTAGAGCACACACCTCACCCTTTCCCCATCTCTATTCTGGCATGGCTTCCTGATATACTGCCTTTCCAGGTACAGACTCCTGGTCCACTGCTACCCTCGCAGACTGATTCTTCTCAGCATGTGCTATTGGGAGAGCAAAATCCAGTGTAGTGAGTGGGAGAGCAGAATCGAGTGCAGTGTGTGTGGGGGGGGGGGGACAGAATCCTGGGCAGTGTGGGGGGGAGCAGAGTTCAGTGCAGTGTGGAGGGAGCAGAGTCCAGTGCAGTGTGCTGCTATCCTCCCAAGCCAGTTCTACTCAGAGCTGGCAAGTCCTGAATCTGAATCTAATGAAGCATGCCACTGCCCTCCCATGCTCATTCCAGCCAGCTTGTGCAGGCTCTGGAGCATTATCTGGTGTGGTTCAGTGTGCTGAGCCTGAGCTACTTTGGTGCTGGACCTACATCCCCTGCTGGTCAAACATTGTCACTAGATCTGCTCAACCCAATCTTCTGAGGATGGACCTCAGAACTGGTAAGACACTTGGGAACTTTCAAACGGTAAACAAGGCTATAGAATAAATGAATGAGTGAATTTATTAGTTAAAATAAACATAAAATATATTTAAAAGGGGAGAAGGGATAATCTTAAAGCATTCCCCATGTTAAAAATGGGAATATCTCAATGTAGGGAATTAGGACCATGTTCACTAATACTTTGGAAACAACAGAGGAAATTAATAAGGACACAAACAACTTAACTGTGATCAATATAATATCAGTCATAATTATTATCAGTCTGGTAATTCATATTTTATCCTTAAAACAGCTTCCAGTAGCTGTTGGAAGCAGAAACAGGCACCCACAGCTAAGCACTGAACCATACTCCTGGAATCCAGTTGTGAACAGGGAGGAGGGATGAGCAAAGGAGCCAAGATGATGCTGCAGAAACCCACAGAAACAGTTGAACTGACCTAGTGAGAGCATGGAGACCCTACGCATAAAGCTGTGGTAACAGCATTGGACCAAACCAAGCCCTCTGAATGTGGTGCCAGCTAGGAGGGCAAGACGGTCTATGGGACCTCTAACAGTGGAGCCAGTCTTTAACCCTAGAGAACAAATGGACTTTGGGAGCCCATTCCCTATGGAGGAATACTATTGCAGCCCAGATACAGCAAGGAGGGCCTAGGCTCTACCCCAAATGATATGACAGATTTTGAAGGTCCCTTGTGGAGGGCCTCACTATCCCTGGGGAGGAGGTGGGAGTTGGGGGGGGTTGGTGGGGAACATGGGAGGATGAGAGGGCTGGGGAATGGGGGGATATGCAAATATGAATAGTAATTAAAGAATTTAAATAAAATAAATAAATAAATACTTTGTTAGGTTCTTTGTATAACCAAACTCTACTACCTACAGAAATTAACTCAAAGGGTGCTCAAGGTGTTTAAATTTGTCAAATTGATATGTTTCATTTTATAGAGTTTGGAAAATTAAAATATGTACATGCTTTAGATACATATTTAGAAATTCAATAGGCAACTGCTTTAAATTTTAAAAGACTGATTTTGTAATTATACATCTATTAAAAGTTATGGCCATAATGGAAATACCTGTACAAATTAAGGCTGATAATACTCCACCACATGTCTCCAGTAAAGTGAAACAGCTTTTTTGCATATTACAACATAAGGCATATTACAGGTATACCACAAAATTATAATTTTGGCTGTGTTTTGTTTTGTCTTTCCAGGAAAAGCAAATATCCAAATGAAGAATATGAAGAATTGGCAGAAAGGGAAAATCACTGGGGAAAATTAATGAGAAAAGGAATAATCTGACCTAATGGTATACATTATTTCCTACTGGATAAAATTTCATAAAATTTTCAAAATGTCCAGTTGGCGGGCCTGTACAGATATATGAAATAGGTAGTCTTTATATAGTCCCGTCTCAATTAAACACTAAATCTGGGCCAGGCAATGGTGGAACAAGCCTTAAATCTCACCAAAACCAGCCAGTATACAAAGCATTCTCTGTCTTTGACAATCCAGAGAGACATGGACCCAATAGAAATACAAAGACCAAAGAAAAGCTGAGGGAACTTGTATTAAACGCAATTTAATTTAAAAACTGGGTTCTTGGCAAAAGACTGCACTAGGTTTGTATAAAATCCTTCCCATGTCTGACAAGAAACTCATTTTGACACTCACATTGAAGAACTGACTACCCATATATCTGAAGGAATGAGAGACTTCCAAAGACTGATGGCCACAAAAGGATGGGCAAATCACAAGGATCAGGGGTGTCATCATTGTATCCCTCAGAGAGCCCTGTCATCACCACTGAGGGATGCTGGTTATATTAGCTACTTTGCTGTTGCTAATAAATGACCAAGGCAACCTATAAAAGAAAGCATTTAATGGGGCTTAATTAATCAATCAATTGATTGGTTTTAGAATTTTAAAGTCAACAAGAATAGAGCAAAGGCATGGTGGCTAGAGCAACTAGAGCTCACATCTTGATCTACATCTA